AGAAGACTGAGCTCGCGGACTTTGTCTTCGGATGCGCCGGCGATTGGCTGGGTGCCTTGGTGTTTTGGTGTTTTGAGGGTCCTCGTGACTGGTATGTCTGGACATTGGCGGTGCGTTGACGGACGGGACTGCAAGTCGTGCGTGCGTCGCAGATGCTGGAGTCTAGCGTATGTGGAGATGCTGTTGGCGGGCTGACGCAGCTCTGTGGCCTGCAAGATTTCATTATCGATTTGTACCAGGCGGGCACGAAGGGGTGGTTGTTAGCGCAAGTGGGGAGGTAGTTGTTATCGAGATTGCGAGGGTTTCTTGCCCGGGATGGGAGAAAAGTTCCAGGGAAGAATGGAGTGGCGGGCATAATGACTGATGTTGTTTTGTGCTAGTCGTGGTGTTGGAGGACAGGATAGTTGTGATATCACTGCTGGGTTGTAATGTGGTGAACTACTTTTTGTGGGCCCGACGACCTTAGATAGTTTAGTGGACTTCGGATGTAAACATGACATTCAGGTGTGGGTGGGTAAACCTTCAATTCAACACTCAATCCACCATTGTTTGTATGCTGCGTAGTGGTGGTGGAGCGGTCCAGCGCGCGATCTAGCCCTCGAGTCGAGAATCAAGACCATCGCGTGGGGATAACTGCATCTGGAGTTGTGGACACGATGGATAAGCTCCGAAGGCCCCTTGCCCCTGCAGTTCTCTAACCGAACGACGACTGTACCACGAGGCAGCTCAAGTCTGGCCGAATTGATACGACGTCCAATTACAGTAGTTTCTCGGCGCATCGATGCCAACACATCAACCTGCGTGCAGGTCGGAGAGACCTTGAAGGAGTCAGACCACAAACGGGTCGAGCCGACAAAACAATCATGTTCACGTGCCTGTCCGGTGAATCCTGCGAAGACTCTAGTGCCAGCGAGCCTTCGGAGAGCCGCATGCATGTGTCGTTGGAGACTGCAGCGCGCTATCAGTAGCCTGCAGCCACTTGGCGTCAAATAGTGTTGATTCGCCAATGCAACGAGACATCTCTCGTTCGGGCTAGGCGGACGCAGCAGACCAATGACGGTGGGATCTGGAAGAACATGCGGACACTCCGCCTCGCACCGGTCGCTAGATGATCCGAACACCAGAGTGTATACCGGTGGTGGAGCCTGGACGACTTCAATGCTCGCGTGCCATGCATGTTCACGTAGGAGCGACGTCCCGAGGAGTCGCGAGGTCGCGAGGAGTTGACCGAGTGGCGCTCGCGATAACGGTGGCAAGGGGACGCGCAGCATGCAGTTGAGCCATCGCATGCAGTATTGGTTGAGAATTGTCAAGATGATGTTCAGTCAGTAGGTAGAAGATGAGCAACTAAACTTGCACACTACACAGGTAAGGTTTGCGGTGCCAAGCAACGTGCCAAGTCCTCCACGACTCCTACCCAAACTTCATCAATTCCTCATGTGCTCAAATTCTAGCGGATGTACATGCTTGCATGCTTGGCTGTTACGTAGTCCCGACTTGATCGACTACCCTGCATATGGATCATATGCATGGCGTTGTCAATCTCGACGTCCGTGGTCGCTGCTCCTCGAAAGGGATCGATCACACTGGCAATACATGCGCTAGCGACTCACAGACATGCTGTATTCTGTTGCATGGCTGTGTGGATATGATTGCAAAGGGATTGGTCTGGCCAGTTCTGCTACCTATGGGTGATGCAGCGTGGCAATCTTGAATCCTGCAGCGGAAGGCGGGAGGATGACTGAGCGCTACCAGAGTCTGGCCGCGCACACAACTTGCATGTTACGCAGAAATGGCGAGGCGACGACGAAATCACGGAAAGAATTTCATGTCAGAGATTTGCAACAATCACTATGAATTACAAGATACATCATATTGTTCTAGATTAATGTAACCCTGCTCGCTAAATGGTGAATACCCCAGCCAAGACGTGAGGTAAGATCGCGTGCTCGATGAAACGCTCCATGATGATCCCTCCAGCATCGAACGTCGAACTGCGGCCGGTCGGGCCTTTTGAAGTAGAACAGGGCGGTGTGCTCGTAGAGGTGGAATTTCGCCATCGCCCAAACGGGACTAGTTCGGGCGGGATTGGTCACTCGAAGCGTGGATTGCGTAGGATTGCGTGACCGCTGGAAGTCACGACCCAACCTTTTGTAAGGCGCGTCAGGGTCGCACTTCCCCACATACACCGTGCGGCCGACGCGACTTCCGGGGCGTCGCGCTTCTTATCCTTCTTATCTATAAAGGTCCCACTGCCCTCATCTCAACCAGAGTTTGCCCACCAAGTTTCCTGCCTTCACCTACTTTCAGGAATTAATTGCTTCTTCCTACAATATCATCGAAGCTTCAATTCTACCACCACAACCACTGCCACTACAGTATGGCACCCAGTCTCTTGCTAGACCCAGAGTCGCCGCCCTCATCCTATGTCCACACCAGCAAGCAAGCCTTCAGCCAGGACGGCGGTGTCTCACTCAAGGAGGCCCAGGCTCCCGTTGGCGGCGACTTCTCCTTCTCTTCTACAGCCATGAACGGTAATGGTAACGGCCATGTCAACGGTAGCAGTGGCTTCTCCAGCAACGGGTTCTCAGATGCTCAGCAAGGCGGAAGCGATTTCATTACTGCTCAGACTCTTCGTCAACAATCGGACAGCTATGCGACTCAGGCTCGCACTTCGGGAGACGGAAAGCGTCCCAACATCTTGTACATTATGGCCGATCAGATGGCCGCACCCATGCTAAAGTTCAATGACCCAGAGTCAGTTATCAAGACACCTCATCTTGATGAGCTTGCTAGGACCGGCGTCAACTTCGCGAGCGCTTACTGCAACTCACCTTTGTGTGCACCATCTAGGTTCACCATGTGCAGCGGCCAGTTGCCATCCAAGATCGGAGGATACGACAACGCCTCGATCCTGAGTCCAGAAATCCCGACCTACGCCCACTACCTCCGCCGCGAAGGATATGAGACTGCGCTCGCAGGAAAGATGCACTTCATCGGCCCGGACCAGCTCCATGGCTTCGAGCACCGACTTACTTCCGACATCTACCCTGGCGACCTGGGATGGTCCGTCAACTGGGACAAGCCAGAGGAGCGTCAAGAGTGGTACCACAACATGGCCTCGGTCATGCAAGCCGGACCATGTGTGCGATCCAACCAACTCGACTATGACGAAGATGTCATGCACAAGGTAAGGAATCTCAGTAGTACAATATACTCCAGTGGTATAAGGAAGTCTTCTAACACATACCTCCAGGCTCAACAGTACCTCTACGACTACGTTCGGTCTGACCCCGAGACCCGTCGGCCATTCGCCTTGACCATTTCTTTGACCCACCCACACGACCCTTACACCATGATCCAAGAGTACTGGGACCGATACGAGGGCGTCGACATTCCCCTGCCCAAGGTTGAGATCGCCCAAGAGAACCAGGACTCTCACTCCCAGCGCCTACTCAAGACCATCGACCTGTGGGACAACCCCGTTCCAGACGAGGCCAAGATTCGCGCCCGCCGTGCCTACTTCGCTGCTTGCAGCTTTGTCGACGACCAGGTTGGCAAACTCGTCCGTCTCCTCAAGAACTGCAGGCTGGACAAGGACACCATTATCGTCTTCTCTGGAGACCACGGCGACATGCTTGGCGAGAGGAGCCTGTGGTACAAGATGAGCTGGTATGAGAACAGCGCGCGAGTACCGATGATTATCAACGGGCCCAACATCGCACCCAAGAAGGTCAAGGAGTCCGTGTCCACCATGGATCTCTTGCCCACGTTCGTCGACCTCGCCGGAGGACAAGTTGATGATCGTCTGCCACTAGACGGTGTCAGCCTTCACGAGTACCTTGTCTCAGACAAGCCAGGCAAGGACGAGGTGTTCGGCGAGTACATGGGCGAAGGCACCGTTACTCCGACTTACATGATCCGTCGTCATGAGTGGAAGTTCACCTACTCCCTTGCCGACGGACCGCAACTCTACAACCTGGTTGAAGACCCGCAGGAGCTGCATGATCTTGCCACTTCCACAGAGCCTCATTACCAGAAGATGCTCGCTAAGTTCGAGGCGGAGGCGCGCGAGAAGTGGGACTTCAAGACGATCCACAACGACGTCGTCCGAAGCCAGCGCATGCGCCAGGTTGCTTGCAGTGCACTGAAGATTGGTCGCAAGGAGTCTTGGGACTACCAGCCGCCGGCCAACGACCAGAACCGCTTCATCCGCTCGCACATTCCTCTGGATGAGCTCGAGCGTCGCGCCCGCTTCCCCATCGTGGACTACTTGGGCCGTGAGAAGTCAGCTCAGGCATCCCACCATGGTCTTGCTGGAGCAGCTGGCCAGTGAGGGCGGATATCCCAAGCACTCATGACCTTTTTCCCTTTCGATCAATTTGTGTTATTACGGAGGTCGACATTCCATCTTTCCAGTCTGTTTCTAGCGATGCTGTTAATGTCCAGTTTTATTAGCGACTCATGGCGTATGACTTTACGACGCAGGGTGTGTATTGTCAAGCGTTCTGCAAACAGCATGGTCAGAATGAGTTGCATTTACGGCGTTTTGGGGCATATGAGGGAACGGCGTTATAGCGATGAGGATCTTGAGCAGGCGATACATGGGCGACGGGTGATCTGGCTATGTATAGCACAGTACAACAATAAAACTGAAAACGTAAACTCGGTGCCGTGTGAACTGACGTCGGCGTTGATCATGTGTGAAAGAATGATGGTGGTGCTGTGAAGCTGTGTGACTCTGGTGCGAAGCGGCGGGGACAAGGAGGGGTGTAATGGTGAGTGCCACGATTGGGGGACTGCGATAAGCCAAGTTTCAAGCTACACGTGAGGTGGCGTTTGCCTCCACAAGCCGAGCGACCGACAGCGGAAGGTGCCAGTTACGTCTGCGACTCAGTACCACCAACCTTGATTGTAGCTATATCCACCGTGTCTGTTCTACCTCAACCTCCCACTCCGCTTCAACTACCTCGAGCTCCGTCCATCATCTACGCACAACCATGTCTACTGCAGCCCGCCGCCGTTTGATGCGCGACTTCAAGGTACGCCACTAGAGCAGCACCACCAAGCTCTGGATGTTTGCGCAATTTAACAGAGAACACCGTACTGACGAAGACAGCGCATGCAAACTGATCCTCCCGCTGGTGTCTCTGCGTCTCCAGTTGCGGATAATGTCATGACCTGGTACGGCTCACCGCATTCCCCCGCACGCGACACCAAGCCTCGCAGTCACTCTCGACTTTCGGAGACACAGCAGCGGCAATAACACATGTCTGAGCTTGACTGCTGACACATAGACAGGAACGCAGTTATTATCGGCCCAGCAGACACACCGTTCGAAGACGGGACCTTCCGTCTTATAATGCATTTCGAGGAGGCATACCCAAACAAGCCGCCGGGCGTCAAGTTTATTAGCCAGATGTTCCATCCCAACGTATACGGGACCGGCGAGCTGTGTCTGGACATTCTGCAAAACCGATGGTCACCCACGTACGACGTGGCAGCCATCCTGACCAGTATTCAGAGGTACGTCACGGTAGAGCTGGTGGGCTGCAGCGCGACACATGCTAATAGGTCCAGTCTACTAAACGACCCGAACACCTCGTCTCCCGCCAATGTCGAAGCATCGAACCTGTACAAAGAGAACCGCAAGGAGTACACCAAGCGCGTGCGCGAGACGGTGGAGAAGAGCTGGGAGGACTGAGGGGCGACTGGGGTACGAATATCATGACACGACGGCATGGGATGGAGTTACAAGGGACAGGGACAATGTCATGTTTGTTACTGGCAGCCAGGGGCGTTTTGTTTGAGGCTCTGCGGCGTGGAGTTTGGTTCACTATGGTTCTATGTTCGTGGCGTAGCCAATATACGTCCGTTTTCGTTGGAATCGCTGATCATGTAGAGAAGCGTGATTGTCTTTGTCGCTCCACTAATGCAGGGATCCTGGTTAGTTGTCTTGGGCACAATGTAGCGGTGTCTTGCTGCAACTGCTACAATGCCATGAAGCGATGCAAGTAGGCGGGACAAAGAGGTCACCATAAAGGAAGATGCGCAGAGCATGCTTTGACCAGGCAGGTTGCGTCACGGCCGTTGGCGGCGGGGAGGAGGAAGGCGCGCTATGGGCATGCAGACCCTGGGCGTATCAACACAAGCCCCAGCCCGCACCTCGACAATCGGCCGGCATCAACATCGCTCGTCTCCCTCACCGCGCGCGCCCCCGTGCTGTTGTCCCCTCACTTTCCTCTGGCGCGAGCAGCGAAGGAGTCCCCGGCGTGCCCCAGGAAGCCTCCGTGGCCGTTTCAGCAGTTCCCCTTAACCATAGTCATAGCGGGGCCTGTAATTACCCACCTCCCACGCGCCGAGACACAGCGAGACGTGACGGTGCCACAACAGGACCTCCCGGCGGGCCTGCAGCAACACCTGCCCCGAAGCGCGAGCGAAGCAAACAGAGCGAGGCCTCTGGGCCGCACCGCCTGAACAGCAGCAATCATGTCGTAAGTAGCTCAAACATGGCGGCGAAGAGGGGCGGCATGGCTAACAAAACGGGCGACAGGGGCTCCAATACTATCAAAGGTGCGCCGCCATACACGAGACACAGACACGCATGGTAGACGGGTTACTGACGGTACGACTGCAGTGGTGGCGCGGTTCCGCCCGCAGAACAAGGTCGAGATAGCCAGCGGCGGAGAGCCCATAGTCGAATTCAAATCCGACGACACATGTACGATCCAGGTACGGCATGCCAGCTCGAGGGATGCAAAGCAGAGCCACTAATGCTGTGTGTTAGTCGAAAGAGGCCTCCGGGGCCTTTACCTTCGATCGCGTTTTCGACATGAACTCCCGCCAGGCCGACGTCTTCGACTACTCTATCCGCCCCACCGTCGACGATATCTTGAATGGATACAACGGAACAGTCTTCGCCTACGGGCAGACGGGAGCCGGAAAGTCGTACACCATGATGGGTAGCGATATGGACGATGAGGTCGGCAAGGGAGTCATCCCGCGTATCATCCAGCAAATCTTCGCAAGCATTCTGGCATCGCCGAGCAACATTGAATACACCGTCCGCGTCAGTTACATGGAGATTTACATGGAGCGCATCCGCGATCTTTTGGTTCCCCAAAACGACAATCTGCCGGTGCACGAAGAGAAGAACAGGGGAGTCTACGTCAAGGGCCTGCTGGAAGTATACGTTTCGAGCGAGGAAGAAGTCTACGAGGTCCTCCGAAGAGGTGGATCTGCACGAGCGGTGTCAGCTACCAACATGAACGCCGAATCCTCGCGATCGCATTCCATCTTTGTCGTAACGGTCAACCAGAAGAACGTCGAGACCGGGTCATTGAAAAGCGGACAGCTCTTCTTGGTCGATTTGGCTGGTTCTGAGAAGGTTGGCAAGACCGGAGCGAGTGGACAGACGCTGGAGGAAGCAAAGAAGATCAACAAGAGTTTAAGTGCCTTGGGCATGGTCATCAACTGCTTGACCGACAGCAAGACGCAACATATCCCCTACCGAGACTCAAAGCTCACACGTATTCTCCAAGAATCGCTCGGTGGTAACTCCCGGACGACCCTGATCATCAACTGTTCGCCGAGTAGTTACAACGATGCCGAAACGCTGGGAACACTTCGATTCGGTATGCGCGCAAAGACTATCAAGAACAAGGCCAAGGTCAACGCCGAACTCAGTCCGGCTGAGCTCAAGGCCATGCTCAAGAAGGTACAAGGACAAGTCACGTCATACGAGACATACATTGGTTCGCTCGAAGGGGAGGTCTCGCTTTGGCGTGGAGGCGAGAGCGTCCCCAAGGAGAAGTGGATACCGCCTCTGGAGACTAGTCCATCTTCAGGCAGAAAGCCAGCGACAACGCCTCGTCCGGGCACGCCATCGAGACTGGAAGGTGTGAGAAACTCTGAAACGCCACGACCTGATTCGCGAATGGACCTGGAACGCGCAGGTACACCCAGCATACCATTAGACAAGGATGAGAAGGACGACTTTCTGCGAAGAGAGAACGAACTCCAAGACCAGGTTGCCGAGAAAGAATCACAGCTTGCCAAGGCCGAGGACCAACTCAAGTCTGCCAAAGAGGAACTTCAATACTACAAAGACCGGGACGCGAAGACGAACAAGGACAATGAGCGAATCACCATGGAGCTCAACGAAATGCGCATGCAGGTTGAGAAGATCCAGTTTGAGAGCAAGGAGGCGCAAATCACCATGGACGGACTGAAGGAAGCCAACTCTGAGCTGACCACCGAGCTGGACGACGTCAAGCAACAGCTCCTGGACGCAAAGATGAACGCCAAGGAGACTTCCGCCGCTATGGACGAGAAGAAGAGGAAGAAGGCCGAGGCAATGGCACAAATGATGGCCGGCTTCGATCTCGGCGGCGAGGTGTTCAGTGACAACGAGCGTACGATACGGAAGATCATAGAGGAGCTAGACCAGCTCCACGACATGAGCGCAGCCGGCGAGGCGATTGCTCCGGATGCGATCAAGGGCCTGCGGGAGAAGATCGTCGAAACACAGGGCATTGTACGACAAGCCGAGCTCTCCCTTACTGCCCGCAGTGAGGAGGACAACACATATGCCAAGCGCCGCGAAGCACTGGAGGCACGCTGCGAGACCTTGCAGACGCAGTATGAGGAACTCCTCGAAGGCAACCTTTCAGAGCAAGACAAGGAGGAGCTCAAGGCACGTCTCGCCGACGCCTACTCTGCCCGACAAGAAGGCAACCTCGAACTTGTCGAAAGCCTCAAGCAGGATACTGCACGTATGCTGGAAGAGAACCAGAAACTCAAGGCCGAGAACGAAAGCCTGCAACAGCGCATTAAGAGTGGCGCCATTGCCAACGGTGTCGCAAACGGCATCAACGGCAAGACTGTGCAACAGCAGATTGCCGAGTTTGACAACATGAAGAAGAGCCTCATGCGCGACCTCCAGAACCGCTGTGAACGAGTGAGCAGACTGAGCTTCTCAAACGAAGACGCATTGCTAATAAGCCACAGGTTGTCGAGCTTGAGATTTCGCTAGACGAGACACGCGAGCAGTATAACAACGTGCTCCGTACCTCCAACAACCGCGCTCAGCAGAAGAAGATGATGTTCCTCGAGCGCAACCTCGAGCAACTCACCGTCGTCCAGCGCCAACTCGTCGAGCAAAACAGCTCCCTCAAGAAGGAAGTCGCCATCGCCGAGCGCAAACTCATGGCTCGCAATGAGCGGATACAGTCTCTAGAAAGCTTGTTGCAAGACTCTCAGGAGAAACTCACAGCTGCGAATCACCGGTAACTTGCCCCCTCCCTCCCTCCCTCCTCCTCCTCACAAACCACCCACCATACTAACTCCTATTCTTCCTCACAGCTTCGAAGCCCAACTCACAGCCGTCAAAGAGCGCCTCGAGTCCGCCAAAGCGGGCTCCACCCGCGGTCTCGGTTCCCCCGCTGGCGGCGCATCTTACGCTGGCTTCGGCGGCGTCGGGTCCCGCATCGCCAAACCGCTTCGTGGCGGCGGTGGTGGGCCCGTCGCGGATGGGCCTGTCCTCCCTGTCATTGGCAATCTGCAGAAGCAGGACGGTGATGGAGGGGATGCGAATAAGGGGAAGCGGACGAGCTGGTTCTTTAATCAGCGGTAGTGGGAGTGGGCGTGGGAGTGGGAGTGGGGTAGGGGAAGGGGAAAGGGTGGAGTATGAGTACGAGATGGATTTGGGTGGGTATCATTGATTGGATGGGATGGTATAAGGGTGTTTTGGGCGTCGCGCTTTGTGGAGGACGGTAAGTGTGCATGGCACGATCAATGAGGAAAGGGATGGATGGATGGAATGAGATGAGACAAGATGCATGACGAACTGAATCATGCACTCTGACCTGGTTCTCTGGGAGCGAGTGTCGCTTTTTGGCTTTCTATCGCTTGCTTTGCGTACTGTTGGAGTAGAACCCACTTTATACCATAGATTCATTATCTTTGAATACCTTGCTTGAGGATGTTTGTCTACACCCGTTCTTCCGTTCCTTCATTGTGAAATGGTGGTGGAGAGTGGACATTTAGTACGAAATTGGGTCGTGCTCTGATTATTGTATGAATAACTAAAGAGCTAACTAGTAAGAAAGATGTAAAGCTAAGTACTCTCTTGAGGCAGTAGTGTCTCAGATCCGCACAGCGACACGGTTTGTTTGGTACTTCTTTGTGCTGGGGAGAAGGAGTGTACAGATGATTGCTATGCTTCCGAAGGCGATGCTCGTGAACTGTTGAGATTGAAAATTAGTTCCTGTAGTAGCTGATTGGAAGTTTAGTTCGGGATGATGTGGACTTACCCAAACATACTTCAAACTCTCACTATACGCCCACCTCGTCCCAATCGTCGCACTCTCAATAACCTGCGGCGTAACACCCGGAATACCCGCCTCCGCCAACTTCTCCGGCTCCGTCAGAAACAAGCCCACGAAAGCCTCCACACTCTCCAGCGGCAAACCAGCCTGCACCGCATACATCGCCGTGTACTTGGGTAGATTATTCGTCAGCTTCCCCGCGAAAATGTTATAGTAAATAGAATACCCGATACTGCCGCCAACCGTGCGAATCGACAACGACAACGCTGCAGCGGTTGTGATAAGCGCATCCGGACAAACCAGCATCGCAACCGTCGCAGCAGGAACAAGAACGCCGCCTACACCAAAGCCCGCCATGGACCCCAGAAACAGCACC